AAAAACAAAGAGTAGCCTGAGTTAGAGCAGTTTACAGTTAGCCTAGGCAACTCAGGGAGACCTTCCCTCAAAAAAAAAAAAAAAAAAGTGAAAAGATAAACAGAGGCAGCTTGGTGGTAGAAATGTGTCTAGCAATTCAGGACAACCTAGATACAATCTCCAGTAGAGATAAAACAAAAGGGGGGAGGGTCTAGAGAGACGGCTCTACAGGTCAGCGTGCTCACCACACAAACACGAGGACCTGAGTGCAGATCCCAGCATCCACGTCAAAAGCCATCTGTGGCCACACACATACCTGTAACTGTAGCACTGGGAGGGGAGGGCGAGAGGGAGGGCAGAGACAGAACGGGGGGGGGCTCAGTTACCATCAACTCCAGGCTCCGTGAGAGAGACTCTCTCAAAGGAATAAGGCGGATAACACAGATAACAATAGAACAGGACACTGGACACAGCCATGTTTATAACACACACACACACAAACTACACTCTCACACAAAAAGAATAAACAATAAACCAAAAAAAAATGATACAGGACTTGTCACAAGGATAATTTTGAGAGCAATTGATAAACGTATTAATTTAGTGACGTATTTTCCAAACTATGTTAAGTCTGGACACAGTGTGTTAAATGTATGAGACATTTCTTCCTCCATCGCCCCCATCACTCACTTGGATCTGGTTCACAGGAGTAGTTGCTGACTTCCCCACAGAGGAGGATGTGCTGTTTCCCATCCTAAAACAAAGGAAAAGACCAGCCCAGTTAATGAAGTGACCCTCTTTCACATGGGTTCCAGTGGAAACCCACCTTAAGTACAAATAGGTCCCAATACACAAAGCGGGGGTGGGGGTGGGAAGCTTTATCAGTACACAATACCAGTCCACAAAGTACCAACAGGACCCATGTGCTTATCTAAGTAGCCTTTCAATAAACTTTACCTGATAAAACCAATCTCTATGTCTAAAGTTCAGTACAGTCTTATTCATAAGCAAATTCATAATCACCAAATACCAGATATTCTGCCCTAATGAAGGCCTGACCACCGGCAATAAAATGTTTGGGATTTCTTCTGAAAACATACAAAATGGGGGTGGGGGGGGCCTAGAGAAACAACTCAGCAGTTAAGAGTCTGCTCTTGCAGGAGACCCAGGCCAGAACCCACATCAACCTCGCTCATAACCAACTATGTATATATCTATCTTTAGGAGATCTGGCGCCCTCTTCTGGTCTCTTCGAGCATGCGCACCTGTGGCATACACACAAAATAACAACTTTTTAAAAATATACAAAAACTTTTGAGGACACTGTAAAGCCAAGAACCCACAAAGCCTAAGGGAATAAAGGTTTTCAATGCATTAATCTATAGTTCCCAACTTCTCAATCCACAAGTAGGAAAAAGAATCACTCCCACTCACAGGGGTTTGTGAAGATGAAATGAGCTGGCATACACAGAAAAGCAAAACCGTATCCTACACACGGTAAATGTCAGTAATACTTGACATGACCATTAGCTCCTGATTATGGGGACCTCAGCATTTGTTGTCCAAAGCCTAGAGCTTAGAAAAAGTATTTGAGTCAGGTGTGCTGGCGTCCACCTTTGATCCCAGCACTTGGAAGGCAGAGGCAGGCCTGGCTTATACAGTGAGTTCCAGAACAGCCAGGACTATGTAAAGAGATCCTGTCTCAAATAAATAAATACAAAATATCCATTGGACAGGGATATTTTTCAAAACACCGGCCAGTGAATCATCAAGTCTTTCTGTTGATCCTACAATGCTTTTCCCTCCTTCTCTTCTTTTTCTTGATAAGCTAGCAAGGCCTGACAACACTCTTGGAGCAAATTAGACATGGTGTGCACTAACAATCTCTCCAAAAGGCGGGTGCTACAAAGGAGAACTGCTCAAATATCTAAGGATTAAGGGTAAGATAAAGAATTTAAAGTTCAAATGGTTTTTAATATCTTTTTTGTTTATTTGTTTTTCAAAACAGGGTTTCTCTGTAGCCCAGGCTGGCCAGATTCACTGGCCACCGCCTCCCAAGTGCTGGCATTAAAGGCGTGTGCCATCACACCTAGCTTCAAATGGTTTTTTAAAATATATTTTTGTTGTGGGATTTTTGTTTGTTTGTTTATTTGTTTGTTTGTTTGTTTTGAGACAGGGTCTCTCTCTATGTAGACCAGGCTGACTTGGAACTCAGAGATCTTCATGCCTCTGCCTCCCAATGCTGGGATTAAAGGTGTGCATCACCATGCCCAGTTTAAAAACATACTTATAATTAAAGAAAAAAAAATTCCCCTCCGTAAAAGCAGTTCATTCCTTATGGGTATATTTATAGAAACTTTAATTGTGTTAAGTATAAAAGCTATTTTAAATTTAAAAAGTAAAGGACCCTGTCAACGCATGCCTTAAATCATAGTATGAAGTTTCAGTCCTGTTTCTGAGGGAATCCCCATGAAATGGCCTTTTCCACTGCACATTGCTCATGGATGATGAATTTTTTTACTCTACGTGGTCGCCCTGGAAAGCTTCAAATAAGCTGCAACAAGCATCCCGTCCCATTACAGCAAAGATGAGTTAGAGACAGGACTCACTGCAACCAAATGTGCGTTTGTCATCATTGTTCCTTGTTCTCCAAGAGATCAACCAGAAACCACTCAAACAAAAGCACTTCTGCGCTTATACCAGATACAGAGAGGGGAGAACCAAGCGAAAAGCTTGGAAGACTGTACCCTGCTTTGGAGGAGGCAGCTTTGAGAGGGAAAAAAAAAAGCTGCTGAGTTTGTGAAGTCCAAAGTAGTAGGGGAACTAGGTGGCCTTGGCCTGGAGGAGCGCTGGATGGCATCAACCCAGTCTGTGTGGGTTTTCAACTCCGGAAACAAGTGGGTTTTTTTGTTTTGTTTTATTTTGTTTTGTTTTGTTTTTCATCTCTAATCTAGCATTTACCTCCTCCTCCAACCTATGCAGCATTTACAGCGGATGAACTTTTTCTAAGAAAATGAGAGGGCCAAGGTACGTTCTGAAATCTTATTCCTTTCCCTGCCAAAGGAAAAAGTTCCAAAAAGGTCCCCCCTACCTTTCTTGAGGCAGGCCCATCAATTTCTAGTTGAGCTTTCCTATTAAGGAAAGGGGCAGGTACAGAGTAAACGCACCATAAACACTCCACCTCAACCTTGGTAAAGCACCAACTAGTCATGCTCCATTTACGGAACACCTACTAAGGTGGTAGATGGGCAAAGCAGGATACATATACTCCGACATATCCAATAGGAAACAGTTCTAAGGACCTGTCAAAGAGTTAACATCACGTGATTGGCGCTTTCAGAAAGGAAGTCTCTGGAAGACAGTGGAGGACTGGATGCTCTGTCGCAGACGCTGAGATGTCTTGAGAGCCGCCTAGGCCAAAGCTGGTGTGCCGGCCCAGGGTATGCCAACGAGGGAAACCAAGGATAGCAACACTCCCATCAAACCAGAAACCACATCTACAGGACGCCAGAGTTATTAGCTGCAAAGCTTTGGCCATTTAGAAGCAACAGTCATATTTACTTCCCGCAACAGGACAGCAAAGACATTTACCATCAAAATAAGAGCGGCTGGTTAGATAAGTTCCCACAGCAGGGAATATCTTTTTCAGGGTCGCCCACGTCTACACCGTGCCCAAAACCACCCCCTGTGTATGTGAAGCTCCAACTAGGGGGTCTGGTGTGTGTATGTGTCCCCCAAACCCGGCTCGGGCTCCCCGAAGCAGGGTCCCACGGGCCAGGCAGGCCCAGCCCGCCGCGTACCCCGAGCCCGCAGCTCCCGCCGCGCTGCGCCGCCAAGCCAAGCTGCTCCCGCTCGCCACCAGCCACCTCCCCGCCGAAACCGCGCGGCTCCAGGACATGGCCAAGCGTCCCGACGGCAGCCGCGGGCAGAGCAGCG